GCTAACTCCACTGTTCCAGGTATTGCTATTAAAGGATGGAATTTATTAAGTAAGGCGCCAGCAATAGAATAAAACTTCCGCAGTTTTGCTGCGTGAGTTACGCTAATTCGCCGAGAAAAAAATTGAAAATATATTTTAAATGTCCATTTCTGGCCTCTACTATCCAGCGCGTACTTGTTATTAAACGAGCCGTATTCGCTTCGAACGTTGTTAACTGTGGTCGATTTCTAGGTAAAAATGGTGGCATATGATAGTGAAGACCTAGTTCTTCCAACAACGGAATAGAGTCTCTGTATCCCCTATCTACTATCACCACGTCACCTTCAGAAAACCAAATTCGCATTCCATTGAGGTCGTTTGCGAATTCATAATCCAAAATAGATGCATCATTGTTCTTTGAATTAAAAAAATATAGTCCATTAATAGCTAAAATATATCCGTCAGGAGCACATATAATTTCAGGTTTCCCTAAATGTTTATTTTTGTGAAAGCAATAAGACTATCGCAGTGTCCGGAAATTGCCGCTTTTTTCTATTTCATTATAGGTGCAATCTATATATGCTATAGCTTTAGGAATATCAGGAGTAGGATTGTACAATTGATTAATGTATAGAGATACATGGTTGTTGATATAATCCTCCTTTGTAATTGATTCGAACCCTATATGGTTTGGTACAAATCTATGTTGCAAGGAAGTTCTTACAATAAAAATTATTCTGCTAGTTGTTTGTCTGGAACTGTAGTTTTTAAAAAATCATCTGAAACACCATGTCTTAATTTAATTAGGAAGGTCAATAAATCTTTTTTATTAATATTTCTCATCTTTCCACCATGTTCAATCGCGTCACAAAATGTATACAATTCCAAAAAATTATTTCTGGAAAGCGAAGTTAGGGATTTGAACTCCTCGTCACTAAAACTGTTTATATCGTCCCAGTTTCTGATTTGGCGATTTTCATGGGCCATATCTCTTAAACCTTGAAGAAACATATTTGCCATTGTGTAAGGTTTATTTATAAAATTCAAACCTTCTTGGGGCAATAGAAAACCACAATCATCCAAATGATGGCCACAAATTCTTAAAAAATCGGGTACATATCGTGCACCCGGAAGAAGAGGGTGACATCTCAAAATTACTCATTTTTCAGGAGAGGCGTTTAAAGATTATGTGTTTTTTATTTTTGTTGATATTTTTTTTTAGTCATTGCTAGGATAATAATTTTTTGAGTTGGGTTACAGGCTTAGTGCCTTCATTGAATTGTATAATTTATTTTTTCCCATTGCTTAAGATCAGGGAGAATTTATTAAAAGTATCTTTATTGAATATAAAATAGGCAAAGTTACTTTTATAATTTTCATGGGAAATAAAGGGTTTTTTGTTCAAAAATGCTCAAGAATTCAACGAAATAAAAAAAACATCTGTGTCGAAAAAATATTTATTACTTTAAGTATTAAAATATCAAGAAACAAAGATTTGCTAAAATACCCAATCTAAGAAACAACATTGCAAATCGTCGGCCTAATTTTAAATCCCCGTAACTCAAATTTGCATAATTTTACAGGGGAGCGAAAAAACCGCTCCTTACAAAATTTAAGTCAAATCGTCAGACACTATACCTTAAAATAAATTTATTAATGTTCAAAAAAACTTTAAATTAATAGGTTTTGCAAAAATTTTGAAAAATGTTTTTAATAAAGGACTTACGAGGTTTTAGAATACAAAATGCTAAATTTCTTAGACATACGAGTTTTTAATAGAAATGAATCTTAAAACAGGTTACATACACTTACACTATAAACTAATGAAAAATATAATTAAAATAATATATTTTTTCTAAAATGTTAACAAAAGAAAAGGTTTTCAAAATGGTACAAATTATGTGTCTTTATGTGGAAGCTGGTCATAAAAAAAATGATAATCTTGGTCAAGAACACCCTTTAATTTCTGCAAATTATCAAATTTTTTTCTATCTATTTTTAAAGGCTCTTTATAAAGATTAGGCATATTAACATTTACTGAGCATTCTTTATCCTTTCTCCTTTTAGGCAATACTGTCCATTCGTCACTATAATTAAGCTTATATTCGATTATTCCAGATGTATTATATTTTAGACAACTAATATCGGTAACCACGGGGTCACCTTTTTTAAACCCAGGTCGTATGGTAGTGTAAAAAGAAAGATCAGACATCTTTTTAAAAAAATCATAACTAAGATAATTCACATTATAGGGTCTGGGTTTATTTCTAGCAGATTTACAAATAGAAACATACCCAGCTGGAGTGTAAATATCCGTATTGCGAAGTTTTCGTTCAATAACTGAGTGCATGGAGTCACACTCCATCTGAGTATGTCCTTTTTCTAAGTAGTTTTGAATAATCGTAATTTTCTTTTTCGTACTGCAGAACAAAAGGGTGTTACTTATAATCGCATTGCGGTTTTGGTAAGTACAACCGTCGCTATAAAATGTCACTTCATCTCCGTCCTCAGTATGAAGATCGAAAATAAAAGAGTGAAGAATGGAAGCGAACTCATTTGCAGTCAAACCACCTTGACATTCGTGCCACAAATAGCAGTGGCCATCGAGATTCTTTAAATTGAAAATCGTGAAGTTATGCACCACAAGCTTACTTTTATAATACATTGCTGATGCCTTAGTTAATGGAGCCATGAGTACACTTTGCAAATCCATAGTAAACACCCATTTTTTTCTTCCTTATCTTGGTTTTTGGTATTTCGAGCAGCATCCTTTCGTTTCATATGTGCATTAAAAACTATTTCATCGATGTTACCAATTTTAAAACCAATGCATGTGTCGCACTGATCTTTTTTTGGGCGAAACAAACTATAATTCAAATCGGAGAACACATGACTAAACGAAGCATCAGATACTGCATATATTCCTACCCTACTACATTCTTCTTTGTAAAAACTATATAGTTGATTTTTTGACGTCCAAATGGGTTCTAAGTACTTCTTGCTAGATGTCGCGCGACAATAGTGTGATTCTAGATTCGGAAGACTGTTTAAAAAATCACGCAAATAGTCCATTTCGATTTTCTTGACATGATTTCTTTTTGGTTTAACAGTCAAATTATTTTTTCTTTCGACTACATCATTTTTTGCTTCTTTGTTCATTTCATTCGTCAATTTCTCTACTTCTTCATCTGGATTCCCTTGGTTACTTTTCACCCAACTTAATACTGACCACTCCCCTATGCAAAGGGTATTCAAAAATTGAGTTTTACAGACCCGAAACCTAGCACCTCTAGCAACCTGTAAAAACCAAAACGAATTAGAATTTTGCTTTGCTTAAGGTTTAACTAACTTACCTTTAAGAAAAAATATAGAGAATTTTTCCTACGAGATACTTGCGCTTCTGTTTTTCTTTGTTTTACTGGCCCAAGATCAACTAAACTTCTAACATACTCTTTCTTTTCAGCCCAAGATTTACTCCAAAAATTTTGAAAAATAACTTGTCTGTCTTTCTCTGTTAATAAATTACAATTTAACTTTGATTTTTGTCTACTCTGTTTACAAAGACATGATGGCTTCAATTGTCTTGCATTTCGTTTTTTGTTAAAAGTCCATTTTCCTGCCTCCCTATTCAGCCCTTTGTATTCTTCTCCTTTGCTACGTTTAAATTTTTGCTCATTAACGTCCCATTCTTTATTATTCACATGTCTTCTTTTTTTCCTCGCTTTTCTTGGGGCATCTTTGATTGCAGTGTCAGGTTCATCCATATTTTCTGCGTTTTCAATACTGCTTTTATTTCTTGTGTTAGGTGTTACATCAATGTCAGTTTCGTCTTCAAACTGTTCTAAATCGCTGTCACTTTCATTAGCTATGGCGTTGAGCTGATCTTCCGGTTCTGTCCAGTCTGGGTCTTTTAATTGTTCTTTAGGATCTGCTATATCATTGCATTCTTCTTCAACATCGACACTGTTTTTATTAACATTTTCAAAAATAATTGTACTAGACATTACATTGCTATCAAAACTGGGACTGGGCGTATTTAAAGCATGCTGAAGTTGGTTTTCTACATTCATTGCATATTGAAGTAGTGATGCATCGGAAACCGGTAAGCTTTCTTCAATGTTATTTGAGGTTGCAGTGTTCTCATTAGAGATGAACATGTTTAAATGTTGAGACGGTTTATTAAAATCCGTACTAGCCATATTATCGTTTGATGCCATTTGCATTATTTTTTGCGTGCGTAAAGACATTTTGCTAAAAGACAAATAGGTACTTTAATGTATGGAAAAAATTGTTAAATACCCGTAAGTCTAATGCGAGGTATGATGTTTTTAATGTGTTTATAACTTTTCATGAATTTTAAAAACTCGTATCTCAAAAGAGAAATTAATCGGTTTATTATCATTGTAATATTATTGTAAACCCATTAAATAATTACCACAAACAGAACTTACTTAAAAAATAACTTAAAATAGTACAAATCTGGCTTATATAAGTACAATTTCTTACCTGATTTGCAAGTTTTTCACGGAGCACTCAAACAGGTGGTTGTACGCAACACTGAACTAATGACTTACGAGGATTTAATATGATCGAATTACATTGCCGACATACGAGCTTCAAATAATAACACATAGATGTCGCAATATTCGGGCGAGAGTTACAAGGTTTTAAAATATCGTAGATATCATAATTATTACGTTGCATTATGACAAAATCTAAATTTCACAAAATTGTTGACTTACGAGGTTTAAAAATTAGGCCGACGAAATGGAACTATGTTCGTCAATTAAACAATTAACTAGCATTTATCATACTAAGTACCTAGGTCAAAAAAATAAAAAGCAACTGAGTATTTCCCAAAATAAATAAAGTACAAATGAAAACATTGTAACTAAAAACTTTGTCAGAAAAATAACAAAAATCCGTTGCTAAAATAAATAATCTAAGAAACTACGTTTAATTGCAGAACAAATCAAAAATTCTTACTAAAAACAACAACATCTACAAACTTTCAAAAAAATCTAAATAATACAAGGGCACACACTTTTTTTTTTAATTAGATCTATCAGGTCATTCTTTTTTGTATCTGAAATACCAACTTTTGTTTTGTAAGCTGGCTGAAGATTGATATTTTGCTTTGGTTCTTGGCTTCTACGATTTTTAATAGTAATTTGAACTTGCTTAAATTCTTCATCATATGAGGTCTTGTAGGATAAAATTTCCAAATTATTCTTATTTAATTCGAAAACTTTAATATCAGAAAATCGAAATTTTTTAGGAAAATTAATTTGCAAATCAGATACTAAAGCTTTCAAATCTTTTACATTTTGATGGCATAATTCATGTACAACGTATGGGGTGCCTGTTTTTTTAGCTGTGCGTATAACACATGCATACTGGTCGGGAGCATAAATTGAATTTGATTTTTTGTATCTTTTAATTTCTCTATCTATAGTCGCATGAATACTATCTCCTTCATTTTGAGAATGTCCGGTTATCATAAACTTATGGGTAATGGATTTTATATTAAATGATTTTATTGCAAACAAATAACTAGCGAGGACAAACTGGTTTTTGTTTTGGCCAGCACAATTATCTGAGTAAAATATTATTTTTAATCCATCTCCGGTATCTGTATTCTCACACATCTTTTGAAAGAAATCCAAAATGCAACTACCGATTTCGTTTGCTCCCCGATGAGCTTCTGCTTCATGCCATAGATAACAAGTTCCTTCTTTACTCTTTATGTCATACAAAGTAAAGTTGAAAACATTTAGTTTGTAAACATAATAAAAGCAGGATGCTACCCCTACAGGACATGGTAATATTGCTTGCATGTCATACACTACAACTTTTGTAAATGGATCTTCATTATTTTTATCTGCGTCTTTTTCTATCCTGCTTAAATCCTTTTCGCTTATGTGTGTTTCATATTTTTCCTGCATAGCTTTTTTCTCTTCTTCTGTGCCATTGCTGTATTGCAAACACAATTCGCACTGGTCTTTTTTTGGTAAATGGAATGCAATATTAAACTCCTCATTAAAGATCTTGCAGTACATTAAATAGTTTGCAGCTGGTTTCTTTTGTGCTTCACATATTTTCTTGTAGTCGCGATGTAGATCTATTGTTCTACTTCCCTCTATATACTCCTTTTTTGTATGAGAACGGCAGTAATGACTGTCAATGCGAGGTATGGACTGTATGTGATCTCTTATATCGTTTTTTATATTTTCATCAACTTTGTATTGGTTTTCATGCTTTCCACGTTTATCAGCTTCTAATACAATTCCACTGTCACAGTGTTTTTGTTTCTTGATCACAGTTTCAATCACTTTATTATTGATATCAAGCGTTGAGATGAAAAATTTTTTACACACTCTTACATTTCTGTTATCTATAATAAAATAGTATGCATTATTTGGTTTCCGTGGTTTTTCTACATTACTGTATTTATATTTTTGCGTAATTGTTTGCATGTTTGAAGAAATAAACTCTCTTTTTTGTTCAATACTCTGCAACTTCCAGTAATCTTCAAATATTTTCACCCTTTTATTTTCAGATATTTTTTCAAAACACTTCAGCTTACATTTATTATTACATGGGGGTTTAAGTGATCTTGCTGGGCGTTGTTTTTTAATTTTTTCTTTAGTACCATCTTCTTTTCTTATAACACTTAAATAACTGTAGCTTTCACCTGTATTTCTTAACTTTTTGCTTACTTTCTTTTTCCATAGTTCAGGATTCAATTTTCTTTTTTTAGCGGTTTTTTCAACTGAAGTTGGATTTTTTATTTTTCTTTTTTTGGTTGTTTCTTCAACAGACACTGTCTGACTCACCTCTTAATTGGTATGTAGGATCACCTACGCTATCATCGCTGCCAAAAGGATCTGACATAGATACGGACTTCGAACTGGATGACGAACTGGATGATGAGCTGCTCGATGATGATGATGATGTTGAACGCCTACGACTTTCATTATGTGTATTATTATTTTGTAATATTTTAGTACTGGCCTCAACGGCAACACTACTGATATTGTTATTAGGAATGCCTTTGGAAAACCCTTGAACCTCAGGAGAATTGTTTCCTAAAAAATAGGAAACAAATTGTTAAAAATCAAAATAGTTTGGGTTAGTTGGTTTATTTGTATTTTCAGTTTAGCTAAATATGAATTTAGATAAAAATTCTTATTACCTGCAACCACTGTCTCTTGAAGATCAACATTACTTGTCTTTATAGGAGTTTCAATAATGTGGGTATTTATTTGTTTGTGGATGACATTAGCAACCTTTTGAATGGAATAAGATTCGTTGCCTTAAAAAAAAATTGGAAACCCAAATCAATTCAAGTGTTTTGTGCGGTTAATTTAGATGAATAATCAAGAAAAAACATTTATTACCTGCAACCAATGTATCCTGAAGATTAGCAGCAATACTTTTTTTAATGGGAGCTTCAATTATAATACTATTTGATTGTGTGTCAGTATTCAGCTCATCGGCATTAGCTATGTTATCAGGGACAATATTTGTCTGAATATTTGGAGGTATATCAGTGTTTGCCTCATGGGAGACATAAGTAAAGTTATTCGGGAGGATATTAGCAACTTCTTGAATTTCATGAGATTCGTTGTCTAAAAAATTAGAAGTAAAGACAATTATTTACTTAAAAGATTTTTTATTTAAACAAAAATAATTTTAATGCCTGCAAACATTGCCTCCTGAAGGTCAGCCAAAGTTGAAGTATTTGAAGGTATATCACTGGTATTACCCACCACATTTTTCATAATTACCAACGTCCTCTTTTTATAAGACATTGTATACTCTTGTCTATCTAAAAACAAAATTACCCCTTTTATTAACACTCACGGCTTAAAATTAATTGTATAATTTAGGTTCTTGGAATAAGTTCAGAATTTATTATGTATATTTGAAAAACACAGTTATACAAGCGCGTGATGTGCATGGAATTTGGGGAACTCATGACACATGTAACTTGTTTCCTGGGGCAGCATATACAGTTTTGGCATATTGTAGACTGTTATATTTATTTCAAAGATGTCCCAGAAATCAAGTGTTATAATATTCCCTAAATTCCATGGACCACACGTTCCTGCAGCTATATTTGTTACACATAATTATTTAGAAATTATCGGAAAAAAGTTACAAAACAAAGAAAAATACGTTCAGGTTCGTTCATCTGTGACCAGCTTGTAAAAAAGACAGTAATATTTGTAAATGTCACACCTAATTTTTAAAAAATTATTGAAAAGAAAGTAACAAAACATAAAAATACTAAAGATAATTCGCAGTAATTTTTAGAAAAAGGTTATAATTAGATATATCACTTTATTGAATAAAAAACTACTAAAAATAAAAGTAACATTTTGGCTTGTCACCTTATTGAATATAAATAAATTGTAGAAAAAGGTTATAATTAGATATATCACTTTATTGAATAAAATTTTTTTTTAAATAAAAGTAATATTTCGGCTTGTCACCTTATTGAATATACCCAGACAGCACAAGTACGTTCATAGAATATTCTTAAAATATTCTTGAAGAATGTTTAAATATTCTCAGAATATTCTAGCAACATGCTACAAACATTCTTGGAATGTTCTATGGAAATACGAAATGGACTGTTTCAAACATTCTATGAATGTTCTAAAAACATTTAGCAGAATATTTTGGTACATTCTATAAGCATTTTTAGAATATTCTACAAACGTTCAATAATATTCTACAGAATAGAAGAATATTCTATGAATGTTTTCAGAACATTATATGAATATTTTTAGAATATTATAGGAATATTTTTAGAATATTATAGGAATATTTTTAGATTATAGGAATATTTTTAGAATATATGAATATCTTTAGAATATTATATGAATATCTTTAGAACATTATATAAATATCTTAAGAATATAAAAAAATTATTTGAAAATAAGGTACACAGGGTGTTTCATATATACTTCTTTTTTAAACTATGTATAAAAATCATTAAACATTTTTCAAAAAAACAAAAAAATCACAAGGAATTTGGTCTGGCGACCTTAGTGGTTACGCAAGGAATTAAATTACAGATATTTTTCCGAATACATGGATCAGTTGCAGAGCCAGTGAGGTCTCCAGATCTAAATCCTTGTAATTTTTTACTTGTTTCAATGATTTCTATATACAGTTAAAAAAGAAAACTCCACTTATACCCTGTATTGCAGTAGTGTTTTTAGTTTCTACTGAAATAACTGCAATAATTATTTGATTATCCAAAAAATTGTGTTCCTAAATAAAAACCAAACCAAAATTTGAAAAAGTGTTTATTTAAAATTAATAAATAATATTTATTTTTTTGTTTCACTTTTTAATCTTTCTGTTGCTTTTACAAGCCATTGCTTGACAGCATTTTCTATATCATCATTGGTACATGCACTATTTTTATTAACCTTTCGTACAGCACCTAAAACAAAAATATATGAATACCTTATAAAATTTCTGTTAAAAAAATATTTACCAATTATTACATCGGCTATTTTTAAAATTGAAAAATTTTTCTTTTGTTTGAAGCCAATCCAACTATATTTAGTTGCCAACTCATTGGCTATTATTTTGGCCATTACTCTTTTCACCATTAACTTGTAATTAGAGCCACCAACAACCGCAAGTTCTTTGATCTAAAAAAAAACATTGTTTATTATTAGGACTAAGACTAAGTCAATATTAAGATTTTGAATGATCACATGTTCTGCATGTATACATTTAACTGAAAATATTATTTTTTGTAACATGACAATTTGAGGTTGCATCTTAATATTTAGCTTAATATTGGATCAAAAAACATATATGATCATGTACAAAAAAATATCTGTTACTAATTATACATACCATTTTATTGCACTTATCTGCATCCTGCAAAACATTATCTAACTCCATCAACTCATCAACTGTTTGCAGGGGCAGTTGAAACTGAGTTAAAATGGACTCTTCCACCTCTTGTCCTACAGTTTCTTGCAAAGTTTGAAACTGTAAGTTTGCAACATCTGCTGATAGTTGGTCCATCTTTAAAGACAACATGTTAAGTTGCCGTATGACATGCCTTTGAAAATTTTGGTCTGCAAGAAATAACATATACATATAAACCATCAATTTTATTTATTATATTATACTAAAATAAATAAATAGTTTGAAAACTTACCAGAATGTACCATCGTAGTGTCATTTTTTGTTATATTGTTTTTTGGCGTACCATAAAAATGTTTGTTTTGGGACTGCTCTTCTTTAGGTACTTCATTTACTGCATCTACTAAAAATCGATTATCAAATTATTTATATAATATAAATAAAGCTTTTAATTCACCTTCTACAATAAAATCAGTAGCTCTTCCCATCTTAGCTATATTTAAATTCGGTAATTTTGGGCAGACCTTTGCAACTTCCTCACTTTCACAATCGGATGATGATGATGACGAGGATTGTAAAAATCTATTTTTTTGCCGAATTCTATTTTTTTTACTGTCGTCAATTTCTGAATTTATATCTGAAGTTGTTTCAGCCTGTAAAGCCTTCATTCGGGCTTTAGCCAGATCACCTAAGAACAATAAGCACTTTTTATTTAGCTGAAATATGTATACAGGTTGAATAATATTTCACAAAGAAGAACCATACAAAGTTTGTTAAATCAAATATAAAAGCCAATAAAAAAAAGTGATTAATTTTAATAAAAAAGATAATTTAACTCAAAATATTGATTAACTTATGGACATTAACAACTTTTGTAAAGATACATACCATAAGCTTCACCAATAATTCTTATTCTGAAAACTTCCCAATTTTCGGAGGGGCCCTCACATTTCCGGAGGGGCCCTCACATTTCCGAATAAGATTTTTTAGTTTTCCATTATTTTTTGCAGGTGGCCAATAACAACATATGTCGTCTATCAACCACGACAATGGTACTGCTTCAACAGTACCCTCATCCATAAAATTTACAATTCTCCACATGTTATATCTATGAAAATAAAGATTTAGGTAAAACATTTTAGACTAAGCAGTGCATTAAAGTAAAATATTATTAAAACATATACATATACAACCATTTACTACAGTACAATTCAAAGAATATACAAAAAGATATTAGGAAAGAAATTTGTGTAAAAAATTGTCTATAAAATGTTTTCAAAAAGTTCTCAAATACTAACAGAGTTCTGACATTTAACTAATAGGTTCATTGTCAAAGAGACATCAACTTGTAGATAAACACTTATAAATATAATTATGCAATACTAACGATTACATGAATAAAAAATTTAAAAAAAGTTATTTACAAATATACAACAAAATATCTTTTAAATGAAATTATTTTTAAGTAGCACTATGTAGTAATACAAAAGCAACAAATCCTGCCAAATAAGGAAGTAAAACTATTTTTTGGCTAATATTTAACATAGGCCAGGTAGATAAAGGTCCAAGCTGATGTACAAAGAATACCCCTATTTGTGATGATTCACAAGGGCTTTCGAAAAAATTTTCACTACATAAAAACTTGCAGCCAATAATACATAACTCGTTATCAGCTTTTAATACAATATTAAAAATTTTGATTATGCTATTATCTTTTAATATACAATAGCAATCCCTTTCACTTTTTGTCTTTGAAATAAACGAATTTAGAAGCAAAGTACTGTATTCCTTCGTTAAATTTAAACCTAGAGTAGGACCATCTGAGTGCTCATGTTTACATGTAAAAGTATCTGATGATTTTAATTTTACATCTACCTGAGCAGTTTCCTTTTCACTTAATCGCCTTATTATTTGAGCAAGAGGCTTTTCAGGCTTTCTAACCATTTTTTTCATTGACTGTAGATAATTTTCAAAAGGAAAACAACTATAAGAGTCTAAGTTACCAAAAAACTGAATATCTTCATTAATATGGATTAATCCATGAACATTATGTGATATATAATGTTGTCCATAGATATCACCAAAATTCTGCACAAAATATTCCAAAAGCATATTGTGAAGCTGATTTAAATTATTAGAAACAAAAATTCTTATGGCAATATGTAAACACAAAAAATTTAAATATTTTTCCTCAGACAAAAATTTTTTCAAAACAACTGGACCTGAATATAAAAGAAAAAATCTAAATTCAGTAGCCTTCCATCTTTTAACCTCATCTAAAAATCGTGGTTTTCTAGCAAATTCAGAAGGCGTGTAATTTTTAAATGATTCATGTAATTGTGAAATATTTTTAATTATATCTGGTTTCAATTTATTAGGTGGTTTGCCATACACCCACAATGATACAATTAGTTTTTTCATAACACCCAAACAAACTAAATGCATATAATCTAAGGGTACATTAACAATTAAATCAAACTTTGGGATTTTCTCTAATACTGAGGTGCCGGTATGATGTTTTTTTTGTTTTTTGTCCCTAAAATGTTTATCAGTTCTTTTTCCAGAATCAATAAATGGAAAACACATTCTTCCTTTTCTGTAATTCCCTTTTTGTAAACACTTTGAACAAGAATAAAAGCCTGTATGTCCCTTGGTATATGTTACGAAGGATTTTGCAGGGACATCACAAATTATTCCTTTAATGTTAAATGCAATATATTTGCCATTATTCAAATATCCATTGTTAGTTATTTCAATAACATCTTCTATAAAATCTTTCAAAAAATCATTAGCACAGGCAGGTTTTTCATTTCCATGATATATCCCAGCAGCAGCTACTTTATGCGGAAATACATCTAATGCACACAATATGGGGTATATTTGACTACCTGAGCTTTTACTAATTGGTAATCCATCTATGTTGACCAGCAACTGAATTTTAGTTAGGTTTAATTGACCTACACACAACAGGTCAAGAGTCTTAAGTAGACCAATATGCGAGTATAATCCAGGTTTAACTGTCCTAACTGTATGTGACCGAGGTGTTGAAAATATACTTCTAGAATCAGAAGGTAAATCTAAATCAACCGGAATTGTAGTTTTTATCAAATGCAGTAATCCATTAACTGCTGAATGTGTAATTCTGTGTTCGACGGCCCATAATTTCAGCTCTAACTTAAAATTAGATTGTAATGAATTACTTTCCAGATTTGAATGTATAACTTCATCTAAATGAATGGCCCTATCACTCACGAATTCTTCTCTTATTTCATAATTTACATATTTTACACACTCATCGACTATTTTAAAGGCACCATCACTAGTAGGCGGATCGTCAATTTTAGGATATTCTACAACTAAAGGTTCTAATTCATTTGAATGATAAGAAGATTGTTCGGATTCACTGTTTTCATCACATTTCTGCATAAGCATCATATCTGTTTCAGTTTGGCAATTCAGTTTTCTATAAAAATTTGATGAACGCTTTCTTTTAGGCATGGTCTTGAAATTATTATTACAATATTATTATAAACTTGACTAACTTAAATCGCTTATTACAAACATTCAATTAAAATTGAAAAGAGGGAAAGTAAAAACATACTTACATGTTTGAGGTTAGATTGTGGTTAGATTTTACTTTACTTTCTGGCGGGCTTCGACACTTCGGCAGTTTTACCACTACCGCCTACCCAGGTTCATCAACAGAACAAAACATAACCACCAACTTCAAAAACCACAAATCACTTTATTTGCACCAACAATGTCGAAACAAAAATATTGTTATAATAAATAATTTATTATTTATAATTTGATATATTAAAATGAATATTATTTATTTAAACACTAATTAAAAAATAACAATAAATAAAATAATTTAAATATTATTTAGAATATTCTATAAATATTTAAGGGATGTTATATATTCATGTACTATATTAAAGTTCTCAGAATATTCCTAGAACATTTTCTTCTAAACGAGGATATTATTAGAACATTCTTAAAATATTCCTATAGAATATTCTAAAAACAGAATATTGTCACCTTGTCAGAATATTCTTAGAATATTATGTGCTGTCTGGGTAAATAAATTCATAAAATACTACTTACCTTAACATAAAGAGAGTTATATAACTAAATGTATCACTTTTTCTAAACGGAAACTATCTTTTGCCACGAGACAACTCGAAATGTCACCTTTCTCCAAAAAATTCTTGACGCGTTCTTGTCAAAAGACACAGTCAAACTGAGATAACATCATCTTCTCAATACGTGCTGCGTGGAAATGCCGAATTCAGTAAAGCGACAACATACCATCTCTCGGTCAATAAGTAAAGCTCACATGTAACTTTTTTTTTTATGATAGAATACAATATTTAAAATCGATTTCTGTAAATAACTCAATTTTACAAAATTTTGATATGTCACCTTCTTCTTCCAAATGCACGATATATGTTACACTCAACAAAAATGTCAACTCTACACTTTAAAAGTTACTCGTTGAAGGTTTACTCTTGATTTGCATATTATGCAGGAGCGGCTTGTAGCAGGTGATATAACATTTAACCGTAGATAATTATTATTATTTTCTATATTTATCAGTTCATTTGCTATAGAAATATTACAATTAGTACATATCCGTACATATCCTATTTGAAGAAAATCTATGATATCATCGCGAATTAAACGAACATAACACTGCATTCTATTTGCAGAAGCCATATTATATCTTAACATAACAATTAATGTTAAATTAACAATGACAATGAGGGTGACATTTCTAACTCACTTCATTTGTTTCCACAGCACACTTGTTTAGAATAGTACAAAATTGAGAGATACTGATGTGGAATGAGAAATGATCAAAAATAAAGTTACATAGTGTTTACTGTTTTGACATATAAACCCAGTTTACATTATATGTATTCAGGGTGATTGCTAATCCATCTACAGAAAGGCGTTTCTTAAAAAAATTACACCCTATGTATTAAGGAATTTGTTAATAATATTGATTATGGGGTAATACATACCTAGATAACAATACTTTTTATAAAATACAGGGTGATACACACGTCTAATTCGTTTTTGATGCAGCAACAATTAAAGAAATATTCATTTTTCAGAATCACCCTATATTTTTCAATTCGTTTCGTCAAAATGTACGATCTATTTATTTTTGTAAATAGCTGTCAGCAATTAATACCTTCGTATAATTTCATAATTTTAGTATGATCCGTTTTTGAAATTCCAATATATATAGTGAACCAATATCAGACAATTCAGGATATTCGCACACTGGAATTTTTTATTTACCGAAAAATTATCGGGGGTAATACCACAAGAACTCAGATTTAGCCGGATATTTTTTGTGGTTATTTTCGAATACTTACTTTCATTGGCAATTGCCTAATGAAAGTATGAGAAAACCACCGTAAAAAATATCCTGCTAGATCTGAGCTCGCGTGGTATTTGGTAAGACCATTCCATGAATAGAAAACTCAATTCAATTAAACTTTACTTTTTTTTGTATTTTTCTGGAGTTGGTTTTTCAATCTCCCTTACTATTTCTGCCTCGCAAATATTAATAAATCTCGATATACTTATTGAAATATTACGAGGATAATGATTGCTGTTTAATTCTGTTTTTGACCTTTACAATTGTCAAACTGATGCGACGCGCAACGCTTAATAAACGAACAATAAATGCCAGCGTTGCTACGGTAACGTAATTTATCCGATATTTTTATCCACTTGCATTTCTTATTCTTCCTATTTAGCCGATAGTAAACTACGATTTTTCTACTCACAAATGGTAATTATTATACCTACATGCATGAGTGGATATGTCCGACATTTAATATGGTTCACTATATATTGGAATCTCAAAAACGGATCATACTAAAATTATGAAATTATATGAAGTTATTCATTGCTTAAAGTTAATAACAAAAATAAATAGGTCGTACATTTTGACGGATCGAATTGAAAAATATAGGGTGATTCTGAAAAAGGAATATTTCTTTAATTATTGCTGCATCAAAAATGACCTAGATGTGTCTATCACCCTGTATTCCATAAAAAGTATTGTTTTCTAGGTAGTAAATGCATAATCAATATTAATAACAAATTCCCTAATATACAGAGTGTAATTTTTTTTAAGAAACGCCTTTCTGTTGAATGAATTAACAATCACCCTGTCTAGATAGAATGTAAAATGGGTTTGTATAATGTTAGAACAGTAAACATTATGTAAGTTTATATTTTTGACCATGTTTTCATTCCATATCAGAATCTCTCAGAATTTCAAAAATTCCCCCTGATGTAACTGAGTACCACCCTGTATATGTTTACATTTTGAACTATTTATATGTACGTTTGCGTTAGACTAGGATATATTAATGCTACAATCAACTAAAAATGCTTATTTTTTTATTTTTAATTAAGTTACGTAGTTTCAAGAAATACGATTTCTCGACTTTAACACCCTGTATTTTAAAAACTAGTCATAGGATTGAATTGGTCCCATAAACACTTTTGGTCAACAAGTCGAGTACAATATCATATTCAAAATTTATTACATTTGACGGTACGCCACTATGCCATTAGAAAAGGGCGGGGTCCTCTGTGAGGATGTCATTAAGATACCTTTTTTGCGTTTTTTGTTGTCTCTCAGTAATACATTCCTTTTTTTCCCGGGGTCTGAACTGAAACTTCATCACTGATAAAAAAAAATAAAAAATCAGTTTTTTGATTTTTTAAGCATATTCTTCCATTCTTATTTTTGTAAATGGCATTATCTCTGCTTGACGAAGTGATCTGTTGTATCTATGGTTGGAAATTAAACCATTCATTTTTCCAGATACTCGGTACTTTTTTGCGACCCTACCGCTAATTATTTTACTGGCTATCTGTTTTTCAACTTCGGTAGAACATGATTGCACGTTTGATTTGATTTGTTCCTGCAAAACTTCGCTAAATAGTAGCTGTTTTTTTTATTTCTTTTGTATCTCCTTGTAAAATAACATCAACTTTTGTATTTGGCATAAGCGTCGGTGTCGTTGAAGATTTTCAAAGTTTTCTTCTATGTTCCCTTTGTAGCTGTTTTTTTATATTGCTCAGCCTTGATATTTGCAATGTTAAGTTTATGCTGTGTTGCATTTAGTAACTTTTCTGCTCGTTTTAGTTTATTAATAAGTTTTGTATTCTTAGTAGGTATTTGACATTGCTCCTATGGGTGTTCGTTTAGGTGTTTCTGTCTGATCAGGTTTTTCTAGTCCAGAGATTTGATTTAAACCTTTACTGGCAGATGAATCTAAAACATCTGGAGTTTCTGGTCTTTAATTACCGGGAGTATCTGCTCTGCTCTCTGGCGGACTGTTTTCAACGTTTTTGAGTTTTATCTGGCTTTTTTGCTGTCTCATACGCCATTGATTTCTTTGAATGCGTTGTTCCCTTTCGTTCATATCCGCTATAAACTTGATTTTTACTAAACTCTTTTTTCTGATAATTTTCTCTTTCTTTTTTACAATATTCTTCGTGTTTTTTCTTGTTTTCTTTTAATTTTTGCCTCATTTTCTTTTCCCTTTCTTTTTTCTCTTCTCCTCAGTTAAAATGGTTTTATTTATCTTGGGTTGAGTTTTCATCTTAGCTATTTTTTGGTTATCTTAGGTTCCTGAAAAATATAATTTTTGTTATTTTTAAGTAAAAACAAATATTTTTAAAAATCCTTGCATGACAAGTTTCGCTTGTTTTTTTTCGTGGTATCTTTGCTTCTCGCTTTTTTTCCTCATACTTGGCCTTCTCTTTTTCTCTTCTCAACGGCTTCATTTTTTAATATCTTAAGTCTCCCAGTCAAGCTTTTAATATCAATAATCTTTTTTTGATTTGATGAAATATTCATTTCCTACAAATGTTAGTTCTGTCCACTTAAGTCACATCTGTCCCTTTTTATGTTATTAAAAATAGGGACAGAAGTGACATGGGACAGATGTGACATTTTTAACGTTTTCCTACCCTTAAAAATTTTAGGTTATGTTTACCTATCAATTATAATTGAACTTGTTTGCAATTTCATCCTTAGAGCATATAAGAGTAGTAGTAATGTGTTTTGTTATGTATATGCGAGGTCATCACTTTTGGCATGAGGGGAGAGGGGTAGGTACAACATTCTCAATGGCGTACGGTTTGAAAGGGTCCGTATTTATGTTTACCATTATGCACTGTAATTTCACAATAACTAATAATTTAGATAATTGATTCGCATGATTAATAAACAAATTATTTTTTCTACAAGCGTGCGAGAAGTTTATCTTCTCGCACGCAGAGAAATATAAATTGAAAAAAAAGCAATATATTTTCGCCCATGCCCGGGTTTGAACCTAAGATCTTTGTGTTATGAGCCCGAAACCCTAACCACTACACCAATTCAGCACATACCATCGGTTTAATATATGTATGTTACCGTGAAACTCCGAAAACCGGTGATTGTCAGAATATACCAGTGAATGTCAACATTCACCAAGTTACTTGGCGTATGTCCGATATATTCATTAATTATCATTATTTCTATCACCGGTGAATGTCAACATTCATCATACACTCATGGTGTATGTCTAAAAGAATTTTTTATAGAAAGAAAACAAACACACTCTATAGGTTATTCTTATTTTATTTTCATTAAAACATGGAAGAAGTTTC